GTCGTAAGTTTTGTCGAATTTATTCTGTAGGTTAGATCTCTTTTTATTAGCACTTGCTAGAAATCCTATATTATTTATCTACTTAGCTAGTTGAACAATAATGCCATTGCTATTATAACGTTATTGCTGTAACTCAATATCGTACATTTTATAGTTTCAGTCTGAGCTATTTTCGTGATAAAAGCCCAATTTTGTTGTTTGAATAGTCCCTTCAGTTACCGTTCTGTTTAAGTTCTCCTTAACAACGGTTTTTATTCAATGTTTTACGTCCCTTTCTCTCGTTTCCACCACACACGATCGCGCTCCTGTCATTCTCGTCCCTTTCATCTTCCTTTCCTCTCCCTTAGCACACAAGCGACGTGGTTAGGTGTGGTGTCGACGCTGGTTATATTCCACAGACATCGAGCCGAGACGACGGTGTTCACGGTGACGTAGACCGCCCTAAGGGCCGTTTTCATCGTGACACTGATCACCCTAGTTCAGTATCGACGATTTTCAGGGCCGCCGTGGGCGCAATTATCGAGCCCTTCCGCCACCGTTGCCGAGAACTTCCTGCTCCTTGCGTGTAATTTCGGGGTTTAATAAATAATTAGCCACGTGGCTTGCTGTTCTGCGCCCCCTAACAGGCTACAGCAGTCACCCTGCACTATAAACTATAATTTATCGGGCCAGGGATGTTATTTAATCGAAAATTGGAATTTTTTAGCTTAACTTACTTTCTGTGGTTATTTTATACGTGATAGAAGAGTAAACGAGACGAAGATAACAGTTAACATAAATCTTCCACTGTTGTCACGTCGTTACAACTCGATTTCGTCCTGAAACACCCTGTACGTTTTCCCAAGCTTCCAAAACATCTTATACAATGTTCTCATGCCTTCAAAACGCCCTATACAATTTTAGTAAGCTTCTAAAACACCCTATATAATTTTCCCAAGCTTCCAAAGCACACTATGTAATTTCCCCAAGCTTCCAATACACCCTACACAATTTTCTCAAGCTTCTAATACACCCTATACAATTTCCCCCAGCTTCCAATACAACCTATACAATTTTCTCAAGTTTTCAGAGCACACTATACAATTTTACCAAGCTTCCAATACACCCAACACATTTTCCCCCAGCTTCCAATATACCCTATACAATTTTCTCAAGTTTTCAAAGTACACTATACAATTTTCCCAAGCTTCCAATACACCCTACACAATTTTCTCAAGCTTCCAATAGACCCTACACAATGTTCTCATGCCTTCAAAATGCCCTATACAATTTTACTAAGCTTCTAAAACACCCTATATAATTTTTCCAAGCTTCCAAAGCACACTATATAATTTCCCGACGCTTCCAATACACCCTACACAATTTTCTCAAGCTTCCAATACACCCTATACAATTTCCCCCAGCTTCCAATACACCCTACACAATTTTCTCAAATTTTCAGAGCACACTATACAATTTTCCCAAGCTTCCAATACACCCTATACAATTTCCCCCAGCTTCCAATACACCCTATACAATTTTCTCAAGTTTTCAGAGCACACTATACAATTTTCCCAAGCTTCCAATACACCCTACACATTTTCCCCCAGCTTCCAATAGACCCTATACAATTTTCTCAAGTTTTCAGAGCACACTATACAATTTTCCCAAGCTTCCAAAACACCCTACACATTTTTCCCAATCATCCAAAACACCCTACACAATTTCCCCAAGCTTCCAAAACACCACCAAACCCACCGTTTCAGTACAGTCTACACCCACGGAATACAGCTTGCGATTTCCCTTCCGCGCAAAAACAACCAGCAAACTCGTATCGAACAGTTCTCCCACCTCCTTCCCCCAGTTCCCTCGTGTTACTTTAATTAAACCCGGACGCTAAGTGTGTGTCCAATACCGTGTCCGAAGTCCGAAGGAAATTATCGAAACAATCCCAGAAACACCATATTTTCCCTCGATTATAAAACCCCTGGCCAAACCGTGGGAGGGAGATCTCCGTTGATCCCAGACCACCCAGAAGTCAACGTCGAGTCTACGGGGAAGGGGTGTCGTGTGACGTAGAAAACGCGAACAATTTCCGTGTCGCGGGAACCGGGACGGTTGAATTCGATGTCGGTGAATTGAAAATGAAATACGAAAATTGGCCAGCGTTTTTCGGGTGTTATTGGACACGGGGCTGCGCGCGTGGTTGCCCCGACTCGCGAAAGGCGGTGTTCGATATCGATTCGATAGGGACAAGCCTGGCGAGGGGGTTGAATTCCCGTGGACACGCTCGCTGCCTCTCGGATCCCCGGGATTGTTACCGCTTATATTTATGAGCCGCAGCTGTCTGATCGCGTCTACAATTTACTGGTCGTGCGCGCATCCCGCGCACCTGCGTTTTTAAAATTATCTCGCGAAAAGCCCCCACGGACAGTATTACCGTATGACACGAATTATTCGATCGTATCGAGCATGGTACACACACCCCCTCTGCCTTGGCTATTTATCATTTTGTCGACCGTCCGGTAACGCGTTTCGACGCCACCCCCTTCACCACCCCCCTACCCCTAACCAGGTGAAATACGGCCGAAACTCGCGACAGGGAATCCCCGGTTCCGTTGACGTGTTAATGCAGGCGATGGGAAGTGGGTCTCTGGTAATCTCGCGTTAGACTGTCTTCGGGGAGTTGATATGTCAGTGAGTCGTGTTTGTTATAGTCATCGAATGCTCGAGGTATGTACCCTCACGAGCAAACTCGGTTTCCGCTAGGGGAAAATGTGGCGTAAGAGGAATCCTTCTTGGTAAATTTATTTCGAGCACCGAAATAAATGTTATATTGAATGTTAATTTGACATAAATTTCAATAATTCTCGATACCAAATTTTAGGAGGCCCTTCTTCAACGTCACTTTTTCCCTTAGCGGAAACCGAGTTTGCTCGTTGGTGTACACTAACCGAACAAAGGTATGGGAGCAGAATTCAGGATTTAATGGTCCAGTGACTAAGAACAGTAAATCCTCGACGAGTGTTCGAGGGCTCCTCGGCGCTGAACATTAAATATTTTATGAATTAATGGCCATGTGCGGCTGAAACAAATATCATTGGCTGCGGAATGCCAAGCTCTATCACTGGGCTAAACCTGGTTAGAAATTTAGCGTTGCACCTGGGCCTGTGCTTGTACCACCAGGGAGCCTTCGATCACTCTTCGAGGATATACTGTATTGTCTTAAGATGTAATAAGAGTTACGAAATCAGTAGATATCAAAATCATGTCCAATCAGTTTTAACACATTACATTTATCGAATCTTTGTAGAACTATTTCTGTGTACTGGTGGTCTAAGGGGATTAAACTATTAGTTGTGTGGTACTGATGGAGATTACAGGATACCAACGCTGGATTGTGTATTAACGATGACTATAGTCACCCAACACTGACTTATGTACTAACGGTGACTGTAGCCATTGAACGCTGAATTCTCTACTAACGATGATTATAGTCAACTAACACTGATTTATCTACTAACAGTGACTATAGTCATCGTTAGTAGATAATTCAGCGTTGAATGACTACAGTCACCGTTAATACATAAGTCAGTGTTGGGTTAGATCTGGGTTAGGTACTAACAGTGATTTATAGTCTATTCATGTACTAATTTATGTCTGATTTATGTACTAACAGTGACTATAGTCATCGTTAGTAGATAATTGAATGACTACAGTCACCGTTAGTACATAAGTCAGTGTTGGGTTAGGTCTGGGTTAGGTACAAACAGTGATTTATAGTCTATTCATGTACTAATTTATGTCTGATTTATGTACTAACAGTGACTATAGTCAACGAACGCTGAATTGTGCACCAACGGTGACTATAAGCAACCAACGGCTAATTCATGAACTAACAGTGCCCATAAACACTAAACCCTGCAGTTGTATATTAACGATGATTATAGTCACTCAACTATAGTGACTATAAACACGTATCAAAATGTGTTCCTGGTTATATTACTTATCATCAGACGCAGATAAATCTGTCGAATCTTATCGTCACACAGGATATTGTCCCAGAAATGTTCTTCAGGAAAAACCGTTGAAAAAATGTCCTGCAATGTGTATCGCGGATCTCCTTGACCCGCGGCAGCAGCTTTTCTCCGACATTTCGAGGACGGAGCAACGCGTCCAGGCATTTTATGAATCGTAACTCGCGGCAGACGCGATAGAAGTCGCGTGAAAGTCTCGTTAAACTAGTTTTCACGCGCGATCGGCCGACCTTCGACCTATTGGCGTCGGATATATCCGCGCCAGCCGGCGGCCGAGGCGTATATCAAATTGTTTGCTGTTCACGAATTCTACGGCGACGTGTGCACCCGTCGTAGGTTTTTTATCGCACCTTTTGCATGGCCAACCCCCTCCGAACAGACGAAAATTGTCTCTGGGATATCGGGTGATCGGTAGAGGCAAGAGAATATCTCGGCCCTTCGACGACAACCGTCGCAAAAAAAACATTTTTAAACATGATTCTATTTTTTGTACGATAGATAAATATTTACAATGAAGGAGCCAGCTCCGATTTCGATGATTTTTTAATATTTTGTGAAGGCCACCCTCCTGAGTGACCGTCAGAAATTTTCAGTTATCAAACTTTGTTTATTAAAAAGTTATTAAGAGAATAGTGATACCTTTTTCTTGAACTGTATCCAATCAACTTTGAATGTTTTTTTTTTCTTGGCCTGTGTTTCATCAAGTCTGAAGCATTACACTGATCGGAGTTGGTTAAAGATAGTTAAAGAACAAAAGTAACTCTTTTTGATAATAATTTTTTTTAGAAATGGCGTCAAAGTTTTTTATTATTGCATCTTATTCTACTTACGATGAATTATTTCTTGGTACACTTAATATTTCTGTAGTTCTCTACACCATCAAAGTCTTTACCGAATAAATAAATAAACTATATCGAGTGTAAGAAAGTACAATAGAACGTTAGAAGCTTTTCGACTAACTTGTTATTATGTTTCTTGTTGCAGATGAAGTAGACGTGATCGGTTATACGAGCAACCAGTCGGACACCGATGATCACAGCAGCGTGCAGAGCAGCAGCGACAGTGGCGTCGCAATGTCCACCTCCAGGCTGACCCTTTCCGAAATGATGGACAATCTTTAGGTAGGCGAACGCATTTCATTCGTCAATAACTATTATTCTTTAAAACCTCATAGTATATAAAATACATTTCAAGAAATAGTATATAAAACCATCTCATCCCCAGTTCAGGATCACTTTCAAAATTATTACTTTAAAAGAAAAGCACTCACTAATCTGCCATCTTTTAAAATAAAAAATTGAAACCTTTAAAACATTGTTCAACGTGAAAAGAATTCGTTGCAGTTTAGATAATATCTTCTTAGATCAATTAGATTCTTTAATCGAGACGAACCAACGTACTCTTGTCGACTAAATTTTGTCTTCGACCATCCCCAAACACATTGCGCTGTTGAAAAGAATACATGTTGCAAAAAAACCAATCGAGAAACTCTGCCGAATTCTCGCGGGAAGGCGAAGCACAAAGCTGCGAAGTTAAACGAACTGGCTGGCGTCGTTCTTTGGTACGAGTCCAAAATGAATTTTTCGGTACGTTGCAGCAGCATCGTAATGCGTTGTTTCGTTCGATATGTTTACCTTTTTTTTTTCTCTTATTTTTTTTTTTCTCGATCGCGTTTCGACTCGAGTTTGCTGAAAATTGCGACTGGGCACAAAGAAACCACGAGTTTTTGCTGGTGTGCCGTTGGCTCGAATTCGGATTTCGCTGTCGGGAACTCGAGCGTTCTTTCGACCGATGTGTGTTCTGTTTTTTCGACACTAATTGCATTTAGAATCACGCTCGAACAATGGTAGCAGAACAAATAAACGAACGCGCGCGTTATTTCTTTTTTTTTTTTATTTCTCGCTTTACGCCCGACGACGTATTAAAGTCACGATCTCAAAATTTAATAGCGTTGAAAAAGGCACACGGGGTTGCGAAAGAGCATCCTCGACGCAACGTTCGTCTGAATGGACGCCATTTTGCAGACTCCGGGGTGTATACAGAGGAGTTTATAAATGCGGATAGCATTGCCCCCCGCGTACAAAGACTATTTTTAAAGTCTCATAACGGCGGGTTTCGAGCTGTTCGGGTAATAACTTTTCAGAATTATCGCGCGGGCAAACTGCTGCGTTTAACGTGTTCCCCTTAATTAACGGAGTGTCTTTCGTGCTTCACGCGTGTTTCAGAGTTACGGGTGCGTTTTTCTCGGATTGTTCAGCGAGTACCGTAACGATACTTCGGAAGGTTCTACGTAAATTGGGAAACAAAAAATACAGAGGAAAAGAATTGAAAACTGAGGGGTCTGGGTCCTTCCTGTTTTATTGTTACGTAAGAAATCGATTAAATAAAATATATTCCAGATTAATGAGTGCAGTTAAGGAAAGATAGAAATTTTTAATGCAGAACTGTTATTGGTTATTTGAACTGAAAAACTATTTTTACACGCCTATAGAACATCTTTGAAAATGTCATTTGTTTTGGAAATAGTACTAAAGATGGTTTTCTGTGACCCTTTTATATTATTAGGAACCCTATTAGATTCTAACTAGTGTTAAGCTTGGAAGATCCTTCGATTTCTTAGAATATTTATGATTATAATTACAACATTTCCAATATACTGACGTATGTGTAAGCGGAGATAGGCTTCACTTACCAACGAAGATCGTTCCAAACTTACACGTCACTAGACTGCGGATTTTATGCATTTGCAGCCCATTTATTGTGAAATACAATAAGTAGAGTCATTAATAATAAAGTACTCCGGCGTACGAAGTGGTAAAAAAAATCATAAAGCAAGAGGTTAACAAAAGAAACAACTTCCTACATTTGTTCTTATCTTTATAAATTTCTTCGCAAAATATAATTTCACCTAAAAATCCGCAGTCTTACACATCAGTAAGCTATGCCAGTTACCATACCCGTCAAGTAAACCAAAAAAAAAGAAAAATTAAAGGTGTGAAACCACTCCCTAAAACTCCAAATTACCAATCCTCCACTATCGAGCATCCCTTACGCAACCTCGGCACAGACAACGAAGAAAACATTACAAGCATTTCCTTTAAAAAAAAAAAAAAAAAAAGCAGAAGCGCAGAATGTAAATCTCTCCCTTTTTGTCCCGTGGTGGGGATGAGAATACGGCGGGAGGGTTGCACCGGGTGTAAAAAGCAACAGATCCACGACAAATAAATTCTCACGTCCGTACCTCTGGGCTATTTGCAGACAAAGAGATGGCGCGGTGGCGGCGGCGGCGGAAGAAAGTGGAGGGGGAGAACTTGGGGTCGCGGAAGAAGGCGAAGAAGAACCGGAGGTTGAAGAAAACCAGGCGAAGAACGGGCCAGAGGAGGGGGTGGGAGGGAGGTTTGGATGCAGATGGAAGAAGGAACGAGCGAGGAGCAGGAAAAGAAGAACAAGAAAGGGCGAAAGAAGCCGTCGGAGCGTGCGAAGATCGACGGCAAGCGCGAACTATCAGCTCGCGTATACGCTGCGCGCACGCACCCCTTTTCTACCCTCTACGGGGGTCACATGTTAGCCGAACGATCCAGGGAAAAAGAAGAAGCTTCGAGGGGGTGGGGGCACGTTGAAGCGGTGTGTGTGCACGCGTATACGATCTCATACAGGTGGTGGTCTCTGCGAGGAGCACGTGGAAGAAACAACAACCAATGAAAAAAAAGAAAAAAAACAATGGAAACGAAACCTGTCGGAGGAACGAAAGTGGAAGGGATGGGGTAACTTTGGAATTCGAGGAAACTGACTGGGCACGGAGAATGAAGATATCGGGAAAAGCCACCCTTGTCTCAGAGAGAAAGAGAGAGAGAACTACGTCCAAAATGGAATCCTCGAGGAAGAATCGCGTACAAAATGGCGGATCGCGAGACGGAATATACGATGTAAATTGACGACGATGTAACTGTACATATTTTTAAGGGAGACCAAATTTATCGAGAGGTGGTAGAATATCTTAAGCGGGGAAAATTCCGGGGGCGTTTCTTTCTCGACGGATTGCCCTTCGTGAACGCGGGGGTGGGTGGACGAAGTATCGAAGTTTTGTTTGGAGTGGCGATCGTCGCTGTTGCATCGTGGATCCTCGATGGATCGGTCAGAGACAGCTTCGTTGTCGATATATATATATATATATATATATATATATATTACCTGTAGAAGATTCTTGTTTCTCTGAGCGATTCCACGGAGATGAAAAAAATTCGAAGTGAACTTTTATTTCGGCAGTTACGGGTAGTTGTGAGATCGCGACACACGGAGCAACGTTGTCGCGAGCCCTCGTTGCTCCGTTTGACGATCGTACGATCGACAGCGAGCAGATCGCTCGACCAAACCGATTCTATAATGTCTCCGTGGCGAATTATTGGCGACTAATCATGCTTGCGAACCAAGGGGAAAGGGACAGGAATTCGCCGCTCCTCGCCGATCATTTTTTGTTTTCTTTCTTTTTCTTCTTTCTATCTGTTTCGCTTTTGATTTCGAAACACGTTTGTGTCGCGACTGCGTGGCCCAGGGTTATATATATATATATATACGTCCATCGCGTTTCTTTGTTTGCTTCGACGAGATATCATGTTAGTTTTTCGAACTTTGTTCACACACACACACACACACATACACACATGGAAATCATCGCACGAACCTCGGAGAAATCCGACTCGACGGAAGTCACACGCAATCAGTCGTGTCTAATCGTTCGCGTTGAAACACCGTGTCTAAATCCACCACATTTTTCTATCACGCTTCAACGGTTCCGTGGATTATCAATATAATCCCGACCTATCCGATTACATTTCTCCCAGGCGTTGAAATCACACCGTTTACGATCCAATCGACGTTTATCATTCACTTCCGTCGTGTTCTATGCTGCACGAGAAAGGAAAGATCGAGAAAACAAAATATTTATCTACGGGAGGAAAACTTCCGTCGTGTTGGTTGCTGCAGGAGAAAAAAAGATCGAAAAAAACAAAACATATGTATATATATATATATACACACGGGAGGGAAAAAATCATTGTGAAAAACGCGAAGAGAAAACGTGTGGCACGCCGAAGAACGAAGGGCACAATCACAGCTGACGTGCAGCACGTCGAGCGAAGAAAAATCAAGGCCGAGAGTGCCGGAACGGAGCTTATTTCTATTTTTTTTCTTTTTTTCAAACTAGAACCAGAGAGAAAAAGGGGTTGATCGCGAACGAACCCGCGGAGACGGATTTCTTCGTGAACTCTACGGTTTTTTAATTAACCGTACCTACGGGAACACAGAAGGGAAAAACGGGAAATATTCCACGAGGCACGTGAGCCGAGAACAGGGGGGGGGGGGGTTGCGGGAACGCGAAAGGAAAATCGTAAAAAAAATTAATGGTACACAAAGACACGCAACTAATGTAAGACCACCACGTACACGCATTTCATACACACTCATGTTACAAACACACACGGTTCTCATCGCGGAATATACGAAAAATGAGGGTATGAAAAATTCCCGAAAAAAAAAACGATAAAACAAAGACACCTGCAAACAGTAAACGGGGGGGGGGGAGGAACAAGACACGAGGAACACACGCGTAAATACGTTTCTGAAACGCGCGAAACACTGTGTAATTAAGGGAGGGATGGGGTTTGTTAGGCAACCGGGGCGACCCGCACGGTGCCCGATGGAAAAGTATAATTCTTCTTGTAATATTGATAAGCGAAAAGAGAAAGATAGACGACACATCGTTTCGTTGTAATACACATTCAAGAAAGATAAACAAACAAAAAAGTACAAATTCCGTATTGTCCCTCGTTGGGTGTTTTCGAGAGGCTGTGTACCACCTGTTGTTGTTACGCGAGATTTCTTTGCCTTTTGGCGGGAGGGAAGGGAGGGGGGGGGATAGGCGAAGCGACGCCATTTTGGTGAACGACCACCGGAAGGTTGCAAGTGGAGTTCTGGCGCGCGACAGGGTGGAGAATACCAGGTGAGTGGAGTGGGGGGATAACGTTTCGGATCGAAAATAAGGTCGTACATGGGTCCAAAGAGCTCCGTGTGAGGGAAATCAATGGGAAGCCTGTTACACAATGGCGGACGGCGGTGAGGGAATTTACTCTGACCGGTTTCGAGGCTCTCCGGGTTTTCCACTTTGCGGCTCGAGCGGAACTTTACTCGGAGAACACCTCTATAACCGGGAGGTTAGGCCGTCGGATTGGGTCAGAGCTGTCCTTTGATGGAATCGTTATTAAACGGAAATTTTTGATAATTAATCGCACGAAGGGTGGGATGAGATATAAATCTATATATATATATTGGTCTTTCAATTTCGAAGTATTATACAACACTATTGTTTTTTTTTTTTTTTTTTAAATTTTTTTTTTTTTTTTTTTTTTTAAAATTTTTTTCTTTTTTTTTTTTTTTAAGTTTTGACGACAGCAGGGAGGGGAATAACCGTGTAACGGGGAGGGTGGAAGGGTCTCTCGGATCGAAGAGAATATCGGGGTCGTTCGAGGGAGAGAAAATTCGTGTGAGGGCTAGGCTTACGCAGACCAGATAGACTGATTACCAAACGTAAACGAGTGATCTCTGAAACAAAAACAAAACGGTTTAAACGGCGTTAGTTTGTAAGAAAACGAAAACGACAAAAAAATGTGTTAACCTTCGGGATGATTTTTCGACCGGTTGTGGAGAGGAAGGGAGGGAGGAGAGGGGTGAAAGGGCCAATCGAATCTGTCGCTGGGTACGTTTTTTTTTTTTTTTTTTGAGTGGGGATGGTTTCTCGAAGCGAGTGTACCCTCGATATGAACCCGAGGCGGAGCCAGTTGATACGCGGAAGTGATTATGGTGTTAGAAATCGCGCGCGCATAGATCGGCGACGAAGAAAACGAGACTTGAATTATCGAGCGAAAGTTTGGTTGAACCACGGTCGCGTGAACGAACGAACCGAACGACAGCCAACGTGGAAGGGGGGAGGACGAAGAAAGAGGCAGTTTTGAAAAAGAGGGTCGATTCTTCGATAAGGGTGGGAGGAACAGAAGAGTGGAAGCCTCGAATCCCACCGGAGGAATAGCGACCAAGCCGAGTGAAATATTTTCAGCGAGGCAAGCCGCGATTTTTTAATATTAAACGTATCGATACTCCCGGATGTCGTTGTTGTATCAACAATCGACCATTTATCTATAGTTGAAACGCAATCATATTGGTTGTTGCAGAAGATTTACCGCGGCCGACACATCAGATATAAAACGTGTGGGATTCGAGAATGCGTGCGTGCGAGAGAAAGAGACACCGAAAAGGTTTCCGACTGTTTTTTCCGAAAATTCAAGGCCTTCGACGCCAGTCCAAGATGGCGGTCCCTATATCGAGTCAGGAAGCTCCGAGACCATCTCCGTCGAACCGTTTTCCCTTTCGTTTACCGGTTATCGTTGATCTTTCTTTTTTCGAGATAATTTTATTTTTACCCTAATTTATTCCCTTTGTCTTTCAATGAATTTTTTACATGGATCAGAAGGGGCGAATCAATTCGGTCCCCCTCGAAAAAAGAAAAATAGTATTATCTATTTAATCGATATTTATAATTCCACGACAGTATTTTAATCCTGTCTTCGTACTTTCGTTTTATTTGTATTCGATTCTTCTGTTTCTTTTTCCTCGTTTTTTTTTTTTTTCAACATGACGAACGCACGTCAATCTGGAATTTCTATCGGTCGCCGACTCCATCGATGATCCGTCATCGGTGGATCTCGGCCTAGAGCTGGCGGTTCACTCGACGAAAGACATGTCAGATTGATTAATCGTCGCCTGTCGTGTGTGTATATGTGTGTGTATCCGTTCGTAATTATTCCCCCGTAACGTTCGCCCGAAACGAGCATTTTGGACCACGCGTTGGCTGTCGTTCGCCCGTTGTAAAAGATTGAAGGGGTGCAGGGGGTGGGAAGTGTTGTGAAAAACGAAATTTCATACGGGATGTGACTTACGCCGTTGATTATATTCGACAGGGAAGCGATCGGAGTCCTTCGATTCGCGCGAAATCACATTCGTTCAAACGACGAGCAGGTGTTTCTCTCTTTTTTTTTTTTTCTGTTTTCTTTTCGGCAGATGACAGGGGAAAGGCGTACGCGCGAGATAGCAAGGAAACCGGTTACTAAACGAGGGAGAACCCACTAAGATCCATCACAAAGCAAACCAAAAATTACAAAGAATAATCACACAAAAAAGAACAAAAAAAAAAGAAACGGTAACATTAATTACACAAACGTCTACGAAACAAAACAAAAAAAACAAAAAGAAGTGAGTGAGGGAGAGAAAGAGAGTGAGAAAGGGAGAGTGCGTGTGACCTGTTTTAGGAAGGGTCGTTCACGGGGAGAGGGATAACAAAAAAGCAAAACATAATTAACAATTTACAATGTAAGAAGTTTCAATTAAGTGATTAACGATGAATGTCTCTTGAACGTGTAGATTGTTGATGAACGCACCTACGTATGTTAAATTCCTGTTCTTTTTTTCACATTTTTTTTTTTTCGTCCAATTCGTCTCGTGAGTTTTTTCGTTTTCAGTTTCGTCGTTGCCATCCAATCGTTGTACGTGCCGTATATCTCATAATGAAAAAAAAAAGAAAAAACAAGAATAATGGAAAAAAAAACGATGGACTATTTATCGTTTCGATCTGGGTTCGTAGTACCTTGTAGCGAGATAAAGATGTATGTATTCTATATATTAAACAGGGACACGCTCGCCCGATGTATTGCTGTTCCCACGTGACAAGTGAACGAACTAGAGAACAAAAGGGTTTGCAGTAACTTCCGACGGAAAATTATACGACGGGACGACTCGGAAATCGATCGAATTCCAAAGAAAAATATTTTATTCTCGACTTCGCTAAATTCACTATGAAAATTGCCGACACGGAAAAAAAAAAAAAAAGAAACAAACAGAACACTTCCAAGAGACGACAAAGTTAATTTTCGTCCGAAAGCTCATCGGGTGGTCCCGTTCGTCGATAACAAACAGAATTTCAATTTCGCGTAAGAATCAACCGATCAGCATATCCGGGGTGTGTTTCCTTTCAAATATATCGG